AAAATAGATCCACCTCAGGGCTCCTGCTATGCATTTGGTTGCTAACTTGCTAGCTAAGTAGCTAATGGTGAGCCAACATGTTTTCAGCACTTATTTCCATGACTGATCAAAACTATTTTTCTCACGGCTCTAGCTTGTACCTCTGCAGCAGTCATGGTGAGCAAAATGTTCAGAACATCAAATCGCAGTATCGAATCGCAATACATATAGAATCGTGAGAATTGCAATACATATCGTATCGGCACCTAAGTATCGTGATAATATCATATTGTTTGTGAGGTCCCTGGGAATTCCCAGCCATATTTGGGGATTGTGATTACTTTTAGGTACTGTAGGCAACTGGATGGAGACATAACCATTTTGCCCTATTGTATAGTATCTTAAGTTGGGACACAAAGGGAGACAATTAAATGGTCTGTGGCTGGCTTGGTAGTTAGCCTGAATATCTGGTAAATCTCTGTTAAAATATGTGCTGGAACATAATCTACTGGCCAGACTATAGCAAATGGCTCAATTAAATGTATTATTTCTCACTTTTGTTTTTCGTAGCTTGGTGTTCCATGGAAACACTAGAACAGAATGGCTTCAAGTAGAAACGGTATTATACACCATCAAAGTCAGTCAATGTATGTTGAAGTTCTGGATATTTTCCCTTATGTGTCCCAGGTTTTTCCCTTTTGTGTCCCGCAGGTGAAGAAGCCGGATGTGGAGGTCCTGGGCTGGCGTGGTTACACGTGGTCTGTGGTTGTGAGGCCGGTTGGACGTACTGCCAAATTCTCTAAACGACAATGGAAGCGGCTTATGGTAGAGAAATTAACATTAAATTATCTGGAAACAGCTCTGGTGGACATTCCTGCAATCAGCATGCCAATTGCACGCTCCCTCAAAACTTGAGACATCTGTGGCATTGTGTTGCGTGACAAAACAGATTTGTGCACAGAATTTGAGAGAAATAAGCTTTTTGTGCGTATGGAACATTTCTGGGGTTATATATATATATATCACAATCAGCAAATTCTCTGACTAACACACCTTCAGGGCTTTGAGGTAGGCTATTCACTTCTGAAGAGTTCATTCCAACATGGTAGAAAGGACTGAAAGGATGGTAAAACCATTCCGTTTTTGGGGCGCATGCTCAGCCGCTTGACACGGAGACGTAGCACCTGGGAAGAAATGTGTATGCAGTTACCAGAACAGGGCAGGGTCCAGCAAACACTACAAACCCTTACACTTAGATATTAAAGGAATATGGCTAAAATTCTGACTAGTCTATCAGAAGACATGCTGGTGCTATTACCATATGGCCTTAACACATCGAATCCTTTCTAATCCTAGGGATTGGGGGCTAGTGGTCGCTTCATGATAACACTAGATTATAACTGAAATAGCAAACTCTTGAATAGGATAATTAACAGTTAACATTACATTAACAGAAATGCACCATAAAGGCTACATACCTTTTGTTCCAAAGACACTCCAAAGTATGCCAGACAGAAACTCCTTTTAGGCTGTCCACAAACGGGAGAAGTATGACGACTTCATGAAAAAGTTTGTTAATCCTCCCAGGAAAAAAGCAAAAATAAACTAAATAATCAGCCTCCAAAACTGGCTGACAAACATCTGCTCAGAAAAATGAATATCACAAAAACATCCATGAAAATGTAAGCACTCACTACTGTAAATCGCCTTGGATAAGAGAGTCTAAATGACAAAAAAATAAAAGAAACAAAAATACAAAATATTTATTTATTTTAAATTCAATGTACAAAAAATGAAAAGACAATCCATTGTTCAAAAAGGCGACAAAAAGACCAACAAAAACTGATGCCAGGTAGACACATAAAAAATGCTTTACATTCTCAGTGTTTACATGGTGTTTCAAAACAATGGGGTAGGGATGTCCCAAGGATTCCGGATAGCAAGGACAGTTCACTGAGGCAACACTTGGGGCGAGAGGCAGCTCCATGCCAGCGTAAAAGTTTGTGAATTATATTTTTCCTTGCAAGTGACAACTACCAGAATTCAGTGGCTACAGCCCTACAGTCGATGAATAGCTGTCGTTTTCCAGCTGACTAGCATAAGGCCGAATAGCTGTCGTTTTCCAGCTGACTAGCATAAGGCCGAAGAGCTGTCGTTTTCCAGCTGACTAGCATAAGGCCGAATAGCTGTCGTTTTCCAGCTGACTAGCATAAGGCCGAAGAGCTGTCGTTTTCCAGCTGACTAGCATAAGGCCGAAGAGCTGTCGTTTTCCAGCTGACTAGCATAAGGCCGAATAGCTGTCGTTTTCCAGCTGACTAGCATAAGGCCGAATAGCTGTCGTTTTCCAGCTGACTAGCATAAGGCCGAAGAGCTGTCGTTTTCCAGCTGACTAGCATAAGGCCGAATAGCTGTCGTTTTCCAGCTGACTAGCATAAGGCCGAAGAGCTGTCGTGTTCCAGCTGACTAGCATAAGGCCGCTCAGTCTTCAGAGTCTAGGCTAATATTTTTTTCTGGAATCAGTGCAGTTTACCCTCCTTTCACTATAGTAACAGTTTTTCATTAAAAAAAAAAAAAGATTATTTCTGGCGCTCCTACATTTTCTGTGGTGCTTACATTAAAAGTATCTTTTTAATCACAATCCATACAGGAAATGTTTTTAATTTTCATTCCAGCGAAATAATAAAAATATAGACAGATATATCGATGATCAGTGAATGTTTCCACTCTAAAAATCTGATCCAAAAATCCCATATCAGTCGGGCTCTAGTATAAATGGTATCAAAACGCTGTCTACAAGCACACCATTCCAGACCGGTCTACATGTTTTAAAGTTTGAATGGCAAGCACACCTAATAAAAGTAGAAAAAGCTGCACTGTGCATCCCAGTCACACATTTACTTGCATACCTTTTAATCCCACAGGTGTCAGAGGAACACCTAAGAATGTCAGTGGAAGTGTCCTTAAAAATAAATACTTCCACTTCGTAGTTGACCGTAGAATAAGAAAGTATGGGTAACTGCAAAGCAAGTCTTGATGCAGTGTCTTTCTTAATCTCTCCTAAAAAAAAGGAAGAACAAAAAATTGCCCACAGATAAAACATCCAAAAATGGCTGAAAAATGTATTTGCAAAAAGAAAAACATGATCCATCATAGGTTATTTGATCAATGCATAGGCCTACTCTTAATTAGAAAAAATGTATTTATATAAAAAAAGATCAGAGGTTCATCTACAGAGGCTTTCAAAGGTAGAGAAGTTAGGCTAGTCAATGAATACGTTGTTTAATGGTGAAGAAAAAATAAGTCTAGCAATAATCAGTCTCTTTACAGCAAGACCAGGCATCAAAAGTGAACAAACAGGAGGCCAAGGGAATCTGCAAAATCCACTATTCAAAGACTAAACCCTTAACACAAATTACATACGCATATATACATACAAAAGTATGTGGACACCCCTTCAAATTAGTGGATTTGGCTATTTCAGCCACATCTGTTGCTGACCGGTGTAAAGGATCGAGCACACAGCCATGCAATCTCCATAGACATACATTGGCAGTAGAATGACCTTACTGAAGAGCTCAGTGACTTTCAACGTGGCATCGTCATAGGATGTCAACTTTCCATTAAGTCAGTTCGTCACATTTCTGCCCTGCTAGACCTGCCCCTGTCAACTGTAAGTGTTGTTATTGTGAAGTGGAAACGTCTAGGAGCAACAACGGCTCAGGCGCGAAGTGGTAGGCCACACAAACTCAAAGAACGAGACCGCCGAGTGCTGAAGACATAGTCTGTCCTCGGTTGCAACACTCACTACCGAGTTCCAAACTGCCTCTGGAAGTAACATCAGCACAAGAACTGTTAGTCAGGAGCTTCATGAAATGGGTTTCCATGGTCGATCAGCCGTACACAAGCTAAGATCACCATGCACAATGCCAAGCGTCGGCTGGAGTGGTGTAAAGCCTGCCGCCATTGGACTCTGGAGCAGTGGAAAGGAGTTCTCTGTGATGAATCACACTTCACCATCTGGCAGTCCGACGGACAAATCTGGGTTTGGCAGATGCCAGGAGAACGCTACCTGCCTCAATGCATAGTGCCAACTGTACAGTTTGGTGGAGGAGGAATAATGGTCTGGGGCTGTTTTTCCATGGTTCAGGCTCCTTAGTTACAGTGAAGGGAAATCTTAACGCTACAGCATACAATGACATTCTAGACGATTCTGTGCTTCCAACTTTGTGGCAACAGTTTGGCGCTGGCCCTTTCCTGTTTCAGCATGACAATGCCCCTGTGCACAAAGCGAGGTCCATACAGAAATGGTTTGTCGGGATCGGTGTGGAAGAACTTGACTGGCCTGCACAGAGCCCTGACTTCAACCCCATCGAACACCTTTGGGATGAATTGGAACGCTGAATGCGAGACTAACATCAGTGCCCGACCTAACTAATGCTCTTGTGGCTAAATGGAAGCAAGTCCCTGTAGCAATGTTCCAATATCTAGTGGAAAGCCTTCCCAGAAGAGTGGAGGCTGTTATACCCATGATTTTGGAATGAGATGTTTGACGAGCAGGTGTCCACATACATTTGGTCATCACTGCTTTCTGCAGTGATTTTAACACTGACAGATTTTTTTTCTTTCTCCATAGTCAGAAGCCATTACAAAGTGCGAGTCTTCTTGAACATGTCGAAGCTTACAAATGCAACACTGACAGCATTTGATTCCCAAATCCTTTCTGCCTTAATCATTACTATTTTACGATAGCTGTAGATTGACAGACATTTTACCACATATTGCCAAAAAATTGGCTAAGATCAACTCAACAATCTGAACGGTCAATAAGAATGATAAGAAACTGGGTCTGTCCACATGGTACGCAAAGTCCTTGGGTACCTTAATGTCACCAAACAACTTTACATTTCCTTCAACAAGGTCCCCTCATCCTGCCATCATTTGAGCTTGGTAAAAAGGGTATCGTCATTCTATCCCCAACACCTTTGACCTTTCAATCAATGCTTCAAGGATCAACGATTAGCTTAGAAAATCAGACCCAGAGCTCTGCATCTGGCTTTGAAATGATGAACTTCCAAATCAGCAGTTACTGCTGCAAGCGAACTATTCCCAGCTCCGCACTTACTGGTAAACTCAACCAAATCACGGCTGATACAATACACCCCTGCCCCATTATGAAACAGATTGTCAATTCTGTTTCCACTGGATGGAGATAAGGGCACTTCATCAAATTCTCTTTTGCTGACCAAAAAGGTTTAGAAAGGAACAAGCCGACCGTCCTCTGCCCATCCAAATTCTTGGACAGCATCACTCACAGTTCTCACCAAACGTACTGTTCCAGCCTCCAACTCTGTTGTCCCAATGTTAGGGGTGCTATGAACTCCTATTTCCTGGTCTCCTAAAACTATATTTTCCCACAGTAATAGAGTTGTTTTTGCCTGGTGAGTTAAGGAATGAATCAAATGTAAGCCACAGAGGAGCACATTCACACGCGACATCATTGTCTTTTCAGAGTGAGTCATAGTATCATATTCCTCAACAATGAGCGGTAGGATGTTTAATCTGTTTGAATTTCTTCTCGGAACCAGTCTCGACAAAGCATTTTAAAAGTTCAGAAGAAATCACTCTCTTCTGCTGCACTTCATCACACATAATGTCATTAATCATTTCCCGGCAAATGTGCAACTGGCTATTCACAGACAGAAGATCAGACTCTTCCTCTGACTCCTTTTCCTTTTCAGCAGGTCCATCTCTTTTATTTATTTTTCCCTTTTTCCTGGCCAAGATGAGGAGATTCCTGTCGTGCATCTTTTTTTTCTGAGATCTGTCAGAATTTTCTTTAAGTAAAGGAACTGCTTTTCTTTTCCTGGAATGAAACACATCAGGTAGGCCTTTTACGAACACCTCGAGAATTCACCATTGTGTACGAGGTCATATCCGTGTTGATTCCTAACAATATTTGTCACGTTAATTAAAATGTATGATTCAAAGTGAAAACGTCTCAAACGTTTTTGCAAATAAAAAATATTCACTATGCAGAAATCGCTTCGCCATTTCCTGGTTGCTAAAATGTTTATATTTTGCCTAATTTCAGTTTGTGACAAAACAAGCAAGTATAGTGTAGATAATCATTGTACCATCTAAACCACAGTGAAATCTCTTTTCCACAACCAAATATTTTGTGTTTTCAGCCGTTTGAAGTTGGTGTACAAAACCTAAAGTAAAAGACGTAAAAATCTAAACTTAAGAACGGGAAGCATAGAAATAGCACACACAAAACAGATATACTGCTTCTTAGACTTGCTTTCAATGAGAATGACAGATCTATAACTCTCACATTTCTATGTGAATTTGGTCAGGTCCCCCAAAAAGTTACATATTGCAGCTTTAAAGTGGAACTGACAGCGTTTTAACTACTTTGCAGATATGAAACAGACAATCATAAGAGGTTTTAGAAATAGGTTCTATTTGACTCAACATTCCATAACGTACAGTAAGACATTGTTGGCAGTATAGATGGACGCAATTCAACGCATGATTAATATAATTCACCAATACATTTCTTGGTAGCCTAAAAAAGGTTGTAAATCACAGCTGGCCTGGTACATTGTTTGCTGCCTCCACCCATTCGGGATGCACAGTTACAGTTTCAATGACTCAACATTTTCAACAAAAACAGACTAAGGCTGGGAGTGTCAATTAAATCAATCTAGCAAGGGCAGTGATCACAAGTCAGTCATAATGTGGCTAATAGGCTAGTGCAGGGTTTCCCAAACTTGGTCCTGGCAGGACCGTGTGGCAAATGGCTTATTTGCATATAGGCCTACTGTAGCTCTGATTGGCTATGGCGCACCGGTCTGCGTAGACTCCGGTCCTGGACAAGACAGATGTTTTTCTTAGGTTTTATTTACTGCCATGCCTATTAATTGCTGCTTTTCCTTTTTTTTCTTTCTTATATTCTTATATAATTTTCCCAAATGCCTTACTATACTTAATTCTCAAACATTCTATGAATTTATGAAAACGACCATATCTAAAGTGATCGCTTGTCAAAAAATAAACAAAATAACATTCTCATATTCTTCCTGGGGATGTATATGAACAGATTTACTAAGATCAAAATTGTATTCTAGGCTATCATAGAGAAAAGAAGCATATCATTTTGCCTTTTTACGTCCTTTTATAAAATATTTATGAACCAAGTAACTGTAAGAAGAAAAATTAAGTAAGACAAATTACACCAAGTAACTGAAATTCAAGTTTAGTTTTTGCAGGTTTGGATGCAACGTCAAGGCCAGGCCTATTTCCTTGCAGCGTGGGTAGCACTTTTTCTGCGTTAAACGTCACATTTTATTAGAATTAGTCGGTAAAATTGTTATTTGTTTCTTCAGCACTAAGTGCATGGTCAGTCTCATCAGAGATGCTCCTTTCTTTACACAATGTGGTTCTGCTTGTCTGACTTTCAGAAATTTGACTCCTTTCGTCACTATAGCAAATATAAAAAATCCTCATTAAATCCAATTTTCTTCTTCGTGTTACTTCTTTCAATCTTTGGTATTTTGGCACAAGTAATGCTGTAGTGACCTTTTTGGTGACTGGAAATCTCTGCAGGATCCTTTATTTTGCATAACTTCTTTAAGAAAGCTTCCTTTTCAAATTCACATCTCCTTTGACATTTTAGGCCACCTGTCCTGCACAGCAAACGTTTTTTCTAACTGTACCTAACAAATGCATAATATCTTGAGCCAGCTCAGTTTTCCCACTGTAAATCCAGATAAAAATTATGCTCAAGAACATCACAGACAATCTGCTTTTAAGTTCCACACACTTGTGAAGCAAAATCAGCCACTTCAACCATTACGTCTCTGGTCAATAGATGCAAGTCAAGTTGATATTTTTTTCCCACATTTTGATTTCACATCAAGTTCAAGTTCTTTTTCCTTACAGAGAGGGTAGAGGTACGCCAATAATTCCTCCATTGTGGGCACTTTCAGGGATTGGAGTATTACAAGTTTGTGTGCCGTTTCATCAGCACACATTGTTATGTCTGTCTCAGTGGAGGTCTCCTTCTTGAGATGCTGTGGAGACCTGTCTAGATCAGGATCTTTCTTTATGCAGATGTCAGCAGGTCCATTTTCATGGCCAATTTGGCCAATCATTGCGGTCTCATCAGCACATTGTGTTACACCCGTCTCCGTAAAGATGCTCTCAGTCTTCAAATGCTGAGGAGATATCAGGTACGCAACAGGCTCATCCTTTATGCAGATGTCAGCAGGTACAGAACATTTTAACACACCGTTATGTAAATAGCTTTTTGCCCACGTAAGGGAGTATTGTCCCACTTTAAGAGTCTTTGGATCAGGAAGTTCAAAGACTTCTGTTAACCACCCAGGTTTTGTTCTCTTGTAATGCATATTCCTTATTTCCTTTAATCTTGCTTCTGTCCATTTTGTAATGTCATATCGTATCTCATTTTACAAAACAAGATCAAAGTTGTATTCTAGAATATCACAGACATGTTCGCGAGCTCTACTAATCCACTTACCTAAATCCGAAACTTCAACCATTACTGCTTTAGTCAGTTAATGCAAATCAAGATTCTGTTTCACTCCAGTTCCGACATTCAATTCTAAGCCTATTTCCTTGCACTTGGCATATGGTACTTTCAAATATCTTCCAGACCATTTTGGGGTAGGTCTTGAGTAACTGGCACGACACTGACATATATATTAATCCTCTAAAGTTTTTGGACATTTGACATTGTAGTCTTCATCTTCAGAGGGATAGTTCAATGATTCACAATTGGCTGGAAGAGGAGGACTAGTAGGTAGTTCTACATTACAGCCGCTTGCTGTAGCAGATGAGGTCAGCACAAAAGGTATGGCAGTACCATGTCTTGGGAGATTGTTGGCCTGGTTCTGTCTTTGGGTCTGTGTTTGGCTAAATATCTGTGAGGTTGGGTTGATTTGACTTTCAAAATAACCATTTTCTGCTCTCAGTAGTGACAACTCTGGGAGGCTGAATACATTTCCTGTCATAATATATATATAATTTTATAAAACAAATGAAAATTAAAAATATACTCTAAAAATACAACATTTAGAAAAATATAAAATAAAAAAATTGTAAAGTGGTTGTCCCACTGGCTATCATAAGGTGAATGCACCAATTTGTAAGTCGCTCTGGATAAGAGCGTCTGCTAAATGACGTAAATGTAAATGTAAATAATATCACTGCGTGTTGATCCATGCCATGAACCATCTTCGATTAAATGCTCTTCATAGCGATAGTGTGTTTACCATGATTAGGATATACCAGTCTTGCATCTTGTTAAAAAGAAAAATCCAGAGATTTTTGACATTCTTTCAGGAAAATGATCTGAAAGCACTTTTTGTACGGCTTTGAATCACATTAGGTATTATGAACACTTCTTCTGACATTTCATCCTTTCCCAAGAGCTCAGGTTTGTGTTTCCGAACCACTTTTTCACTTCACTCGAAATCCATAATTGAAATTGATAATGTCTCTGATTTTGCAAACTAAAATCAAAATTGTATTCTAGAATATCATAGAGAGCAAACATAAAATAACCCCCTTTTTTTTAATCCAGTCTTACCTCGACGATTCTTGCGTAAGTATGTATGAACCTCGAAAACAACAACGTTAGTCAGTAAATTCAATTTGCAGATTTGGATGCAACATCAAGGTCCAGACCTCTTTTACCAATTTTTTGGTGTTAAACTTCACATTTCATTGGTCTAAGTTGGTAACAATTTGTTTCGTTTCATCAGCACAAAGTGCAAGGTCAATCTTATCAGAGATGCTCTCGAGCTTGACCCAATGAGGTTCTATTTATTATTATGTTTTCTTTTTTGACCTTTAACTAAACAAGTCAGTTAAGAACAAATTCGTATTTACAATTACAGCCTACTTGTAAAGCCCCCCCTGGCCAAACCCTCCCCTAACCCGGACGACACTGGGCCAATTGTGCGCCGCCCTATGGGACTACTTGTCTGACTTCCAACAAATTGCCTCCCTTCGACTCCCTGGCTATTAACATGTCAATTTCTTTATTTTTCCTCATTAAATCCAATCTCCTCCTTTTTGTTACTTCTTTCAGTCTTTGGTATTTCGGCTCAAGTGACGCTGTAGTGACCTTCTGGTTACTGGAAATCTCTGCAGGATTCTTTCGTTTGCGTCGTTTTTTCAGGAAAGTATCCTTGTCAAGTTCACATCTCTTTTGACCTTCTAAATGCGTCTTTCTCTTCAAAACTGCTCTTAACGCAGCTATGATATCTTCAGCCAGCTCAGTTTTCCCACTTTGTAAATCCAGATCAAAATTATGGTCTAGAACATCACAGACAATCTGCTTGTAATTTCCACACACTTCTGAGGCAAAATCAGCCATTTCAAACATTACGCCTCTGGTCAATAGATGTAAGTCAAGTTTCTCCTTTTTCACAAATTTAGATTTCACATCAAGGTCAAGTCCTTTTTCCTTACAGAGAGGGTAGAGGTACTCCAATGCTTCTTCTATTGTGGGCATCATTAAGGATTTCTCCATTGTTATGTCTTTCTGAATGAATATGGTTTCTGTGTGGACATGTTGAGGATAGATCACATCCAGATCAGACTCATTCCTCGTGCATTTATCATTAGGTCCATTTTCAGGGCCAAGGAGTGCGGTCTCATCCGCACACCGTGTTACATCTGTCTCAGTAAAGATGCTTTCAGTCTTCACATGCAGAGGAGATATCAGGTCCACAACAGGCTCCTCCTTTATGCAGATGTTAAAAGGTGTAGGATTTTCTGAGACGCTGTTATGCAAATTGGACCTTGCCCATTTAAGAGAGTATTTACTTGCTTTCATTGTCTTCGGATCAGGAAGTTCAAACACTTCTGTTAACCACCCAGGATTTGTCCTCTTGTAATTCATCTTCATGTCTCTTAGTTTTGACATAGTCCGGCTGGAAAAACCATATTGTACTTCATTTCCAACAACAAGATCAAAGTTGTATTCTAGAATATCATAGATAACATGCTGGTGAGCTCTATTAATCTCTTTAGCATATTCAGACACCTCAAACATTACACCATTTGTCAGCAAATGAAAATCAAGTTTCTGTTTTGCTCCAGATCCAACATTGAAATCTACACCCATTTCCTTGCACTTGGTGTATGGAGCTTTCCAAAACCTCCCAAAATTTCTTAGGTTATGTCTTGAGTAACTGACACGACACTGCCGTATATATTTATCCTCTACCGTTTTCTGGCATTGTAGTCTTCGTCTTACATTGCCATTGTAATCTTCGTCTTCATCAGAAGGTAAGTTAAATGGCTCACAATAATCTGAAAGAATAGGCCTGGGTCTAGTAGATACAGCCAAATTACAGCCTCTTTCTGTAGCGGGTGAGGTTAGCGCAGACGGAATGGCAGTACTATGGCTTGCTAGATGAACATTTTCAGCAGGCAATGGCAATTCATTATTGGTCTGTGTTTGGCTTACACTAAACACCCGTGAAGTTGGGTTGATTTGAGCTTCAAATGAACCACAGAGGGTGAATGCAGGTTTGGATGCAACATCAAGGTCCAGACCTAATTCATGAGAGAGTGGGTGGCACTCTTTCACCAATTTGTTGGCGTTAAACTTCACATTTGATTGGTCTAAGTTGGTCACAACAATTTGTTTCGTTTCATCAGCACAAAGTGCAAGGTCAATCTTATCAGGGATACTCTCTAGCTTGACCCAATGAGGTTCTACTTGTCTGACTTCCAACAAATTGCCTCCCTTCGACTCCCTGGCTATTAACATGTCAATTTCTTTCTTTTTCCTCATTAAATCCAATCTCCTCCTTTTTGTTACTTCTTTCAGTCTTTGGTATTTCGGCTCAAGTGACGCTGTAGTGACCTTCTGGTTACTGGAAATCTCGGCAGGATTCTTTCGTTTGTGTCGTTTTTTCAGGAAAGTATCCTTGTCAAATTCACATCTCTTTTGACCTTGTAAATGTGTCTTTCTCTTCAAAACTGCTCTTAAAGCATCCATAATATCTTCAGCCAGCTCAGTTTTCCCACTTTGTAAATCCAGATCAAAATTATGGTCTAGAACATCACAGACAATCTGCTTGTAATTTCCACACACTTCTGAGGCAAAATCAGCCAATTCAAACATTACGTCTCTGGTCAATAGATGTAAGTCAAGTTTCTCCTTTTTCACAAATTTAGATTTCACATCAAGGTCAAGTCCTTTTTCCTTACAGAGAGGGTAGAGGTACTCCAATGCTTCTTCTATTGTGGGCATCATTAAGGATTTCTCCATTGTTATGTCTTTCTGAATGAAGATGGTTTCTGTCTGGATATGTTGAGGATAGATCACATCCAGATCAGACTCATTCCTCGTGCATTTATCATTAGGTCCATTTTCAGGGCCAAGGAGTGCGGTCTCATCCGCACACCGTGTTACATCTGTCTCAGTAAAGATGCTTTCAGTCTTCACATGCGGAGGAGATATCAGGTCCACAACAGGCTCCTCCTTTATGCAGATGTCAAAAGATGTAGGATTTTCTGAGACACTGTTATGCAAATTGGACCTTGCCCATTTAAGAGAGTATTTCCTTGCTTTCATTGTCTTCGGATCAGGAAGTTCAAACACTTCTGTTAACCACCCAGGATTTGTCCTCTTGTAATTCATCTTCATGTCTTTTAGTTTTGACATAGTCCGGCTGGAAAAATCATATTGTACTTCATTTTCAACACCAAGATCAAAGTTGTATTCTAGAATATCATAGATAACATGCTGGTGAGCTCTATTAATCTCTTTAGCATATTCAGACACCTCAACCATTACACCATTTGTCAGTAAATTAAAATCAAGTTTCTGTTTTGCTCCAGATCCAACATTGAAATCTACACCCATTTCCTTGCACTTGGTGTATGGAGCTTTCCAACACCTCCCAAAATTTCTTAGGTTATGTCTTGAGTAACTGACACGACACTGCCGTATATATTTATCCTCTACCGTTTTCTGGCATTGTAGTCTTCGTCTTATATTGCCACTGTAGTCTTCGTCTTCATCAGAAGGTAAGTTAAATGGCTCACAATAATCTGAAAGAATAGGCCTAGGTCTAGTAGATACAGCTAAATTACAGCATCTCTCTGTAGCGGGTGAGGTTAGCGCAGAAGGAATGGCAGTACTATGGCTTGCTAGATGAACATTTTCAGCGGGCAATGGCAATTCATTATTGGTCTGCGTTTGGCTTACGCTAAACACCTGTGAAGTTGGGTTGATTTGAGCTTCAAATGAACCACAGAGGGTGAATACATTCGCTATCGGAATATCACTGGACGGTGCTCCATGCCATGACCCCTCTTTGATCAAATGCCCTTCAGATGTGCTAATGGTATCTTGGGCATTACAGAAATAAACCACTTTAATAGAGTTATTCTCCCCATCACTTGCACCTGTCTTTTCAGGGAAAATACGTAAAATCTGCCCTTGACTTGTTGTTTGGGAACTGATGGTAGGTACATGTGAATGCTCTTTTGGTAAACCCACATAGGAACCTGAAGACCATGGGACAGTTGGGGATATTCCCATGTCATTCTCCTCAAGCTTTACATTTACATCAATCTCAGAAAGAAAATAGCTGGCTGATAAATTGTTGGTAGTTTGGATAACTGCATAGTCATGTTCATATGTTGAATCTGTTTTGATTTCCAGATAACTTGTTTCTGTGTTTCCTGACACTGGAAAATGTGGGTAATCTATGCAGGCATTAATTGAATCAGACCGAATGGTTACTTGGGATATCTCCGCTTCATCTTCCTCTAGTTTAACATCCATTTTGCACCAATAAACGACAAAGACAAACTAATCAAAAAGCCCTGATGATCGTTAGTATTGGTAGATATCTGATAGAAAAACGGATAAAAGGGAACGTAAACGTCACCTTATGGCACAACCAGTCGTTAATTTAATATTGATAAATACTGTAAATTCTATTTAAGACCCACCCAGGAATCAGACTCGCAGTCAGACTGCTAAAAAACTATAATTCACCAATTTGCGAATACCCGTGTCTTTCCAATACATAGCATAGGCTATAAAAAGGACCATACAACTGATGTGACCAGGCTAGCCAGCCAACTACCTAACTAGCTAGCTAAATGGCTACAAACACCTAAATAGTATTTGGAGATGTATCTAACGTTAGCTATTTAAATGTAACGTTTTCTTTTTCTTTTTTTAAAATAGCTAACTAGGTTAATACGGTTAGCAGCTGCTAACAAAACGTTAGCAAGCTAGCTAGTTGTCCGTAACCTAGCTGGCTACATTTGCTACTAGGCTAGCTACCTAAGATAACATAACGTTACCTTTACTGGTGGTGAACTACTGCAAATCCCTTGGCCTTCATTTTGTTGAATGAAAATCAAGACAAAAAACACGACTTCACAGATCTTTTGAACATTATTTCTTAACTTCGTCTGCTGGCTAGCAGCATGCGTCGGAGTGGAATTTTGAAGTAGCACTTTGAGTCCCTCGTCAGATGGTTGTGGCTAGGGATGATACAGCTACGGACGAACGTGATGTCATTCTCTCACAACGTGAAATATGTTTTGCCTAATTTTATATGCAGTCACAGATTATCCATTATATTGACCAGAAACTCTAGTGGCCGCTCTAACAATGGAAAGAAACGTCTTCAAAAATGTAATATAGTCGGGAGGAGGCAAAATCATCAAGTGGGACACAGATTATTGTTCACGTGTGTACAGGCACAATGGTTTCCACTAGTAACCACAGCCACAAAATCACAATAGGCTATTTCGTAAAAAATCATAAAAACAAAAATGTGCTTTTTGGTTTTAATTTCAGGTTAGGGTTAGGCATAAAGTTAGCAGTGTGGTTAAGGTTAGGTTTAAAGTCACATTTTAAGAAGATACTTTGTAGAAATGGGCGGGGTTTATGACTTTGTAGCTGTGGTAACTAGTGCCGACCAGGCACAATTCCGATATAAAGTGTTTTTTCTTAAGGTTGCCGAGATGTCAGGTGTCATACTTATATCAGTACACTAACAACCTACTCATTACGAAACTTCTATTCGATCAAATAAGACACAAGTAGCAAATATGCCGTTACATTTTTTGTTAACCTAAATCAACAATCTGTCATAGAGCCCCACAGTGGAGGTGTCATAATACGCATAAAACCTAGTGGTCGAATAGGGACATGTTTCCAATCGTTTTTCCACCATTCATTTTTCCCATAGGGGATTTTAGAAATACTTCAAATAAGGGCTGTGTTTGGTGTAGGCTTACCCTGGCGTGACGTTTTGATAAGCATGTAAATCTCTCTCGGACCAGCTAGGGGATGTTTATCCATATATTCGGCTAACAGGGATGTAAAAAAAATTGTGCTCAAAATTTGAGCTCATGAAACATGGGACCAACAATTTACATGTTGTGCTTATATTTGTGTATATGTTGGCTCTGTACTACAGCACTTTGGATTTGAAATGATACAATGACTGAGGTTAAAGTGCACACTGTCCGCATTTATTTGAGGGTATTTTTATCCATATTGGGTGAACTGTTTAGAAATTACGGATTATCCTGAATGAATCGTGAATAATGATGAGTGAGAAAGTTACAGACATCCAAATATCATACCCCCCATAAAATGCTAACCTCCCCTGTTATTGTAATGTTGAGAGGTTAGCATGTCTTGGGGATATGATATTTGTGCGTCTGTAACCTTCTTACTGATCATTATTCAGGTTTATCCGTAATCATGGTAGCATCCACATTAATGTAGAAGTGTTTATAAACATTCTATTCTTATTTACAATAAAACTGACTCCAAAATGACACAATACATTATTTACCATTCATTTCTATTAGGCACAAAATAATCTGAAACACAACCAAAACAAACTGCAAATGCATCCAACAAGTTTGTAGAGTCACTAGAATGCTGGTTATTCTCAGAAAATATAAAATGTCTCTCTTGTTATTGTGGAATATTGTGAATTAATATGATGTTGCTGTATTGTGAAAACTATACGATCACACAAGTTTGGTATTTTATTTAGGGGTTTTAATGTAACACTATTGAACACTATAAGATCATATTGTAAATTATAGCTATATTAAATTGTAGCTTTATGTTACAGTACTGAGAACAATATTCTATGTTTATTATTGTCTCTCATACATGTGTAGTTTCATTTAGCTATCATTGCTGGAGATCCTGTGTAAAGAACTGCAGTAACCAATAATTTGTGGTTGTGTCTTTCCAGTGTGTCTCCAGAAAATAAAGCAATCAAGAATGAGAAATAGAGCCCTCCTGTGTCCTGTCTCAGTCCGTTTGGCCATCGTTACACTGTTGCCGTGACCCGTCAGATCCTCAAGATCAGCCCAAAACCGATCACCGGGGGACGTGAAGAGGGGCGTGTCAAGTGTGCACTTCTGGTCAGATTTTGGTTTCATGGTCATCGGACTGTTAATTGACGTATCAACATTGTTGAGGGTTTTTTAAGATGTTTTATTCTCGCATTGTTTTTTAATTTCCATTTGATTTGTTTAACCTTTTGACGTGTAATGTAACTGCCTCTGTCGCCAGTTTATTTCATGTATTTGCACTTTTTATTATTTAATTTCTTCTGTATTGTACGTTTACAGCAAGACGGAACTAATTATTGGTTCCGCCCGAGTGTTGTCACCCGAGCGCCTTTAGCGACGCACCGAGAAAACTTTACCGCGAAAAAGCGAATTATTTTTCCACTGTTATCGTGTTTAAGTGCATACTTACAAAGAAAGTATACAGAAGAAGATAAAGGACATTTAAAAGGATGTTTAGTACCTCCGTGTGATAAGCAGCAATGAGGTTTGTTGACTACTTATTTTGCTATGAGGGTGTTTGTGTTTACGTGCGTCAGTTTTGGTGTAAAATATACATAAAGTGGCTAGCTGTATGAGCTTGATTATAACGCCAGATGTGTGAGACATGCATATGGCATTATTTTGTTAATGTATTTTTTCTTTCTTTAAACCAGTTCTCACGGGTTGACCAGCATTAAAGCCCTGTATTTGAATCAAGACCTCTTGCCTCATGCCTGTCACTGGAGGAGCTACAGTGAGAACTCAACTGCTCTGCATGAGTAGACGAGGAAGACAGTACCAAAGAGCCGTGATCCATGGACAAGAAGGGACATCTCTACATCCAAGAGTGTGCATCTGCTCCTGACATTTACACAGCCGCAGCATCCACAGAAGAATCCAGGCGTCTTACCATGAATCCAGCTGATGCAAAGAAGCTTAAACTATTTCCCACAAGAGACTGACACATTTTTGCCTTCATATTCATACGGTATAGTTGTGTGTATGTTTAAGTGTTAACTAAGCTACAACCAAGAGACTGAATTTTGCATTTCATAGAACAACGTGATATTGATTTGTGTGAAGTAGATGTGAATATGTTCTAAAAAATAATATTAGTGGTAAAAATAGTATAAATGTGAATAGCTAATGGGAGCTGAATCACTTAGCTACAGGCCAAATTAGATTTAACCCAAATTTAAGTATACCAAGTAACAATGTCAGAGCCTAGTCTTACCTCTGGGAGAAAGCAGGTTAATGTAGGTGAAAGTATAGAGCAGCAGTGCATAGACATGCAACCACAGGCTACTAAAGGCACAAGAGCTAATGACCACACTTCCTCACAAGAACCACGAAGAAGCCAAAGAGACCGAAAGTTAACAGAAAAGGGCCAAGAACTGTACAATGAGCAAATAAGAAGATTTGCTCACCGTTTCACTGTGAGCTATGAGGAGTGGAAGGCTATTGCTAAAGACACCAAGCAAGCTTTGAGTGGACAATGCTCAAACAACCTGCTACATGAACACATAAGCAAAATAAGTGCTGCCTCAGAGAATCTGAACATTGCTTATGATGAGTTAAGGCGCATAGACAACCCTGACCATGACACACGTCGCAGAATTGACAACTGTGATGCAGTAACCAGGAAGATCATCCAAACTGCAAAATATCGTTTGGAGACAGAAGATAACGGTGGAGGAGATGAACAACGAAGCAACAGGGCGACATCGTCTATATTCAAGTCTGTAGCCTCAGACAAGATAAGTATCAAATCCCAATGCACTAAGTCCTCTCATGCTCAAAGCAGCTCCAGACATTCAAGTCGGATTTCTGTTAGCAGACAAGATGCCGCTGCTGAAGTTGCTGCCAATGAAGCTACTCTAGAAGTACTACTAGAACAAGAGTGTTGCATTGAGGAATTGGAAAGGCTTGAAGCTGAAGCTGCAGAGAGACAAAAGGTGCTAGATGCAAAGCGGAGACAACTGGAGCGACTAGAGATAGTTAAAAAGTTAAAGGCTGCTAAGGCACGTCAGCGAGTGTATGATCAGAGTGAGTGCTCAGATAAAGAAATAAGCAGTCTACTCCATCAAAGTGTCTGTATGAAGGAAAAGGAAGAAGTTAAACATGAAAATAATCTGTTGCAGCACCATTCTTCACCACAAGACCGGGCACATTCAAAGCAGGATGACAGCACAGCAGCTCTTGTTAGAGCACTTGCAGAGTCCATCAGTGCAGGTCGTCTTCCTATACCTGAACCAACAATATTCAATGGCGACCCACTCAGATTCAATGACTGGAAGGTTTCTTTTCAGACACTCATTGATCGGAAAAACATTCCAGCCGAAGAAAATATATATTACTTGCGAAAGTATGTGGGTGGACCTGCTAAAAAGGCTATAGAGAGCTACTTCCTGCTTGGTTCAGAGTCAGCCTATCACGCAGCATGGAGGATTCTCGAGGAAAGAT